TCACTGTCTCTCACCATTTCTTAGTTAGAACAATACATCTTGCTGATAAATCTTATACTGTTTGGAAGCCTGGTTATTTCTCTTTTAAATTGAGCCACATTTGCTAGAAAAAGTGCATTTGTGGAATAAGAGGCAGAGCTGAGTATGTGGGTTACAAATGGCAAACAGCTTATGTTTCCATTAACTCTTGTTTTGTGTTTTTTGGATAAATTGACGATTGAAGTCTGAAGAGAAAAGACATATTGGCAATTTAAGAATTTATTCATTGAACAAACTTGAACAGCTTGTAGAAGAACCATACTCAGCTTCAGCAGCCATGGCACCTCTCTGCATGCAGTACAGGCCAAAAGTTTGGACACAAATTCTCATTCAATGCATTTTCTTTATTCTCATGACTATTTAAATAGTAGATTCTCAGTGAAGGCATCAAAACTTTGACTGAACACGTGGAATCATGTGCTTAAGAAAAAAGTGTGAAATAACTGAAAACATGTTTTACATTTTAGATTCCTCAAAGTAGCCACTCTACTTTTTTGATAGCGCTGCAAATTTTTGCTGTTCTCTCAGTGAGCTTCATGAGGTAGTCACCTGCAATGGTTTTTACTTTACAGGTGTGCCTTGTCAGGGTAACTTCATGACTGACAGAGTCAGTCACTAAGTACTTCTGTCATCAAGAGCGAAGGGTGGCTATTTTAAGTAAACTAGAATATAAAACATGTTTTCAGTTATTTCACACTTTTTTTTATGAGTACAAAATTCTACATGTGTTCATTCATAGTTTTGATGCCTTCAGTGATAATCTACAATGTAAACAGTCAAATAAAAAATAAAGAAAAGACATTGAATGAGAAGGTGTGTCCAAACTTTTGGCCTGTACTGTTTGTCCCCACCAAAAGATGTTTCTCTGTCAATGCAGCAATCAGCAGAGCATTTTCAGTTGGGCTGAGCAATTTTAGCAATTCTGAGACACAAGTCAATAGTTTTTTCTCAGAAAGTATGGATTTTTCAGCTGCGAGTATCGATACATTAAGTCCTATTAAAACCCCCTTTGTTCTGCCCGGCTAGCACTATGCTAGCTGCCCCCCCAAATATCATGATAAATATCATATTGTGAGCTGAATATTGGGTATTGTATCGTATCGTTTCGTGAAATTAGTGTATCGCTACAGCCGTAATTCTCAGCATCTTTTCCAAACTTTGACCCTACAATCCAACACTAGGCAGAATCTGGACTCATCACTGACTAGAAGGTTCCTCCACACATTCAGGTTCCAGTGTACATGTTGCCACACCAACAAAGCACTTGCAAACAGGCCTGACAGTGAAAGGCAGTCACAGCAGGCCTCCATGGCAGATTGGCCATGTGCAGTCTGACTGGGCAGAGAGTTGTCAGCCATATTGTCCTGAGAACCTTGACTGAAAATCTGCAGAAGACAGCATATGTTTCCTAAGCACTTGGGGGTTTCAAATTTTTGGGATGCTCACTTTGCAGCCAGTCTCAGACATTCCCTGTATAATGGAACGTGGCCTTCAGTTTGGAAACAGTTCAAGGGTTCACTCCAAATGATAATAATAAATTTAAATGTATTTATGAAGTGCTTTTTATCAAAATGCTGTACAACAAGTAAAAGATAAAAGCACATTTAAACAAAAACAAGTTTAATGCAAATTACAATCATAAAATACTACTGCAACTTGGTTTGTTGAATACCAGCCTGAAGTTGCATGGGCCAAGCACCCGATTGTCAGCACCTGATGGTACCAGAAGCTGAAAATAAAAGGACCAGGTAGATGCCAAATATAAAAAGATCGGACGTCATGTAAGGTTTCCTAATCTAGCTTTAATAGTTCAAAGACATCATTAAACACTTTTTGTTCCTAATGATACCAGGTGATTAATATTCAGTGTATTAGATTTGGAGGATAAACTGTTCCACAGTGGAGCTGTCTGATTAGTATGCCAACCTGCACACTGACTGAGTGTTGTTTCTTAAAGTGATTTAATTAACTATGGCTGGGTCAAGTCTGGAACAGCTTTTAAAATGCAGCTTTGACAGCAGCAGTCTACGATACACCTGCTCAAAAAGCAGGCTCTCAGATCAGAAATAACACCTCGCATTTGTTTGAATTTACTATTTCACGTGAATTGGTGTAAGAACAGGGCTTCAGGTTCTTCCTCTGTCCAGACAGCTCAGGCTCCTACACTTGCGCCCTTCAGATCCTTTCCCTCACACTCACATTTTGCATGCATAGCTGTGCCTCAGCTAAAACGCAGTGAAATAGAACAGCCCTGTTGGTTTTGGTTGGAGCTGTACTAAAATGTAGGAGTGTATTTTTGACGTCTTTCTGTTTCACCAGCTCGGCAAAGACAGCTTCACTCTGGTAACCTGACATGCTCCAGCAGAGACACAGCATGCTGCTCCATCAGAGGGACCAATAAGATGGGACCACAGAGGTCATCACAAACCACCTCAAGTCTGTGCATTAACAGGATAAAGCTCTGATGGGATGCTTTCTTTTTGACATTGGTGCCCTGCTTGAAATCCCTAAAGTAACTGAATTCAATAATTCTTGGTAAAATAATGTTTTGTTTTGTTTTTCCCAGCTGTTTTTAAAGCCACAAACAAAGGTGCACACTGAACCTGAACACTGAGAGCAAAGTCTTACCTGTTAGCTGAACAGGTCTACAAACAGCTTATCCTTGATTTTCTTTTAGGTGCCACAGACACAAAAATATTAATGCTTGGACTGGGAGGGGTTGGTAGGAAGAGGACACACACATGTGCACCATGGTTAATACTCAGTGTGTGTGCGTGTGTGTGTGAGCTGGTATTTTCTATTCCAGGGGGAAATGAAATCAGACAGACATTACTGCAGCAGCACACTCTGAATAAGAAAGCAGATCCTGCTGAACACAAGGTTACACAGAGAGCACCACACATGGAGGAGAGGAAAGGAAGAAAGAGATGAATGAACGGATGGATGGGTGGGTGGATGGTTGGACGGACGGACAATCTTCGTTTAAATATGATGAAATAACCACACAGATAGCTGAGAGTGCTAATGAGTGGGTTTCTGTCTATTGCATAAGAAAAGAGAAAGGGTTATGTTTTCACAAAGGGTCACTTCACAGTCCAAAAACATACTTAGAATCCTGATTTGAACAAAGGCTTTTAGCTTTCTTCCTTCACTGCAGGGCATTAGAAGTAAACTTTCATTGGCTTACAACAGGGCTCCAGACGAACTTTTTCCAACACCATTTTCAGGTGAATGTCAACCATCCCAAAATCAAAATGTAATCTGCAGAATTCAATGCCACACAGGACACAGCTGCTTAGGGGCTCTTGTAGCTGGTGCTTTTTTCACAACCACAAATTGAAGTGATTTGAACAGAGTCTGTATGCTATGTAAGCTGTCTTAGTTAACCCAGCTCGGGCTCCACTGCTCTAGTTAGCGATATCATGAAATGGTTTTCATCTACTAAACAAACTAAATACCCAAAATACGGCAGTGGGCTCTGGATTTCAACAGAACGTGAAAACTGTTAAACAGAGATTTAACAAAAAGATCCCACCTTCAAACCCATTAATAGTTAAGTAGAGATGTACACAGTACACTTACATTTCAACAGTTTCATTTACTGCTCCACGGCATTCATTGGAGACAAAACCAAAGAACACACTGTCTTTGCCTTTAAACAAAGCTAAATGAATTGTAAAATCTTTGAGTTTATTATTTACACGGTAAAACAATAAATGTTGCTTCATGCAAGCTAACATTACCTTGTAATCAAAACCAGCAGTGCCTAGAGCATACCATCTAGTTAAAATACTGACGGATAACATATTTGTGCAGTAATATTTAACAAGATATCTGTGTTTACTCAGTGGTTTTCACTACTTCACCAGACAGTTAACGACATCAACTTTGCAAACCTCCTTGTAAACCTTGTAAACAGGAATTAGCACCGCATTACATTCAACAAAATTCCCGTGCCCTTGCACACTGCTGCCACCTTGTGACTAAAGTCTCTAACTGCTGTGGCAGCCAACCCACAGAAAACTCATTTTGACTCAACAATGTTGCATACATCAGAAAATGATACAGAACACTCACATTTTGCTTTTAGAACAAGTCAAGACGGCACAAAAACATACAAACAAATCATATAATGTGTACATATATGTGTGTATTGTGTGTGTGTGTGTGTGTGTATATATTTATTTCTAACGTCTTTCCCTGCACATCTAACCATCTGAATTAGAGCATTTCCAAACTTTTATTTCACCAAATTCAAGTTGGTCATTGCTGACTGAAAAGCGGGAAAGACTTCTGAGAGTCCTCTATGATCTAGAACAAGCAGCAACCTCTGACACAGAAGTCCAAAAAACTGCAGTTCCAGTCCGAGTTCTGGTTGGTTTTGATCCAAGTGTACAGCCCCTACTGTACAGGGAGCAAGTTTTTTTTATTACACGTTTGTTTTGAAAGTATGAACATTGCAAGAGTGAAGTTTCAGAGTTTCTTCAGTCTCTTGGCGTGAGTGTTAGTGTGGACTGATGTGTCCTTTTTTGAGTTAATGTTGAATGACTTTGGTTTGTCCAACAATTTATTTCAGTATTCATCAGAAAACGGATCTGTTTTTATTACCCTGATGATGAGGTCATGAACCCATTACCGAGTCTTAAGTACTGAGATCACGACACATGCATCTGTGCACAAAAGAGGGAGAAATGCCTCACTCTGTTACAGTTCTTGTTATTTCGTTGCATCATGGTCATGGTAGGAGAAAAAAAAACTTCAGCTGTCTTTGCTTCTTCTGTGAATGTTACAACTGAGCCACAGGTTTGTGTAGATGGCCTTAAAACTAAAGCAGAGTCACACAGAATCAAAAGCAACATGATAAGAAGCGCAGATCAAAAGCAAAAGAGTCATGTTTGCACACTCAAGGTTGGTGAGAATAATTCACTCTCCATTTCTCCACAGAGACCAGCTGTGGGCTGTGTGAGTGTCTTTGTGACTACACAGTTTTTTCATCAGTCAGATCAGTTTTGTATCTGTTGCTGAAAAAAGACTTTTTTATGTTCCTCTGTTTGGATGAAATTCACCTTTTAAAATCAAATTTTAAAACATATTTTCATGCCTCACTCTTTGAGGATCAGGTTTTTCTTTTTATTTTTATTTTTCGGCAATAACTCTGCCCTGTCTATGGGGCACTGCGGAGGCTCCAGATTGAATTTTTGAAATGGAAGGAACTGTAAAAAGATTTGTAATCTTACTGAGAATTTTTAAAGAACTTACATCTACCAAACTCTGAATAACTGATATAATGGCAGACAACAGATTAGAATTAAGTAAGGAGCATAAAGAAGCATATGGTTTCATTACAGATATAAGTTATAGTTTTAGCCAGAGGGGGGCAAAACTGAGCTTCACGATTTGGAGAATTCAACTGCCAATAAACCTGCTAACACTGATTTGTTTTGCATTGCATAGCTGGTGATGTAAGATGATAAAAATACAATATGTAATTTTAAATGTTAAAATTGATGACTCTACAAAGTCTCAGATGTAACAGAGCAGAATAACTGAGCAGAGTGAAATGTGTATCTGTGTGTGTTTGTGTGAATAATGCGTGTGCTCTGAATAAAAGCCTCTTCAGATCCGAGCTGTGCTTTGGTTAAAATGAGCTCTACAGAGCCCTCAGCCTCCAGAGACACCAACCACTGACACACTTCTGAGAGCTCTGAGGGACGGGACAGAAACAGAGCCAAAGCAGTGAGGTCTACAGGGACAGCATGCTGTGGTTTATGTGAGCATGAAGCACATCACATTATGTAAGAGGGCGCTCTCACTGAGAAATAATCCTGTTTGAATTTAAAGGCCTCAATATAGAGCTGCTCTGCTCTCTCATAAGGAGACAAAATCTGAATTTCTGCTGCCTCAAATTACTGAGATCAAGACCGGGCTCTAAAAGAGCATTTCAGTCTAATTATCACTTAAAAAGAGAGATGAAAGCTTCATGTAGTCTGATAATAGCTACAGAAACTCCTTCATAATAATTCATGTTAAACTGAAACCATCAGATCAGTCAGAGAGATATCCTTGCTGCTGATTGGTGCACACAGAGAGAGCACGTTTTTGATCAGAGAGCGTGAAAGAGTGTGAATAATTCAGGCTGTTTCTCTAATTCTGAGTTTAGATTCAGAAACCTGACAGTCCTGATATCAGAGACACAGAGTCATCATCATTTATCTCTGCAAACATCTGAATCAATTATTCAGCATCCAGAGAAAAACAGCCCACGGAAACACTGAAATCATTTCTGAGAGAATAAAAGGAAACAAAACCAACAGAGAGCATCAGAGTCTGTCCTCATTTAAAAAAAAAAAAAACAAATTTCCTGTTGAACAACATGTCTTAGGCTGTCTCTGAGGAGTGATAAACAGATCTAAAATTGACCTTAAGGCTCAAGAAGACTCTTAAGAGGTGTCTCATTAAAGGACAAAGTTTGTATTTGATTTCATATCCCCATTTCTTTTTTGATAGAATTGAATCTTTTTTGTGAGACGGATTGCACTGCAGACAAATCTGTGGATATGTGTTCTGCACATATGTGATATTCTGAATAGGTCAAACCTGATTCTGACATGACATTTTATTACTCTGGAGATTTAGAGACATGGAACCATGAGTGTGTGTTTGGCACCCCCAGATTAGCGTTGGGGTTTGGGATAAATTGAATGATGAGAAATGGTTGTCTTGATAATAGACTCTAGTCTGTGATCCACCTTGATTGTGAGCTTTGCAATAAAAGGAAATACAGTGCTGTTATTTAAACTATCTCAAACCTTTGACAGTTTTGTCTCATGGTCTGAATGAAACGGTGTAAACACGACTCTCCCTTCACTTTTGACTGATGAACAAACTCTAACAAATCCAAATCTTTAACATCACATCAGACACAGCATTACTGTGATGAACGTTATATTTTGTTGAATTCAATTTTCAATGCATTAATTTTCAATAACATCAATTTTTATTTATATTCCGTTATTTGTTCATATCTGATAAACGTTTGTTAGTGAAGTTCACGTGGATGGAAGTGTCTTATACTCCAGTGCAGTAGGTGGCGGTATGCACCGTAAGATTCAGGATCATTGCCGCCAAAAAAAAAAACTGAATAAAAAGCGGAAATGCGTCACCAGTCCAAACCCTGAATGGAGGTGCTGTGGAGATGTAAGGCCGGTCTCTCTTAACCAAACATCTCTGAGACCTTTACATTTAGACTTTTACCCCTGAGAAGATCTGTCTTTTTAAAGAGTCAACGATTAAAAAGTTTGGACGTTTTAAAAAAACTGCTGGTGGATTTTGCGGGTTCTCAGCTGACCGTGGACTGCCTTGTCGTCGCTGCTTTCTGTTCGCAGGTCCAGAGGTGAATCTAATGCGGGCAGGGATCCACATGGGGAATCAGGGTCACCCCGAACGTCGGGCTCAAGACTGCAGGCCCCCTGTTTGTCCAGCAGAGAGCAGCAGACTGCTCAAAGACCCACCGGCTCGAGGACGAGCTCCAAGAGAACCAGCCATGCAGCCTGGAGAGACAAAAAGGCCTCCTGAGCCCTCAGAGTCTGGTAAGAAAAGGCCATACAGACCACTGACAGAGTAAAATGTGAAGTTTGTGCAAAAATAGCATTTTAAACTAGCTTTTTTTCAAATCCAGATTCAGTCAGCCCGGGGATGATTTCTTCATTGCTCTGACCCTGGGAGAGGAGCTGACTTCTCCGGTCCTGCAGCTCTGAACCACAGATCCCCTTCAGAGGTAATCGGGCTGCTTAAGAGCAGGATGTTTCTCTCCTTTTGAGATCACAGAGATTTTCAGGATAGTTTCATCAGTTTTGTCAGTATGCAGTGAATTGTCTGCCTTTCTTCTTGAGATATTGAAATCTTTTGCTCAGCTGTAAATCAAAGATGTTCCTTGCATTAGTAAAACCACAGCATTGTCTCCACACCCAATGATCATTTGACAAAGCACCACAGGCATGAATTCACTGCAAATTGCCATATTTTTTGTCAGTCTTTTATTCCTTCTGAGGTTCACATGATGGTGGATCAATGATGAAAAATAGCCAAATCTGAGCGCTGGAGTAAACTCTGCCTCAGCCTGTGATTGTGCTTGAGAAGCTTCTTTGTTATTGTTTGTTTGTTTGTTTGTCTGTGCGGAGGGAGTGTGTACATATGACAAAGTCTTAGTGTGTGTGTGTGTGTGTGTGTGTGTGTGTGTGTTATTGTATACTGGGCTATGATGTAAATTTACTGAACCTGAAGTGTGTTTTATTCAAACACATTTCATGATGGTTTCTACACTTGAACTGAGCTCACATATATATAAACGTGTGCGTGTGTCCAACTGCCTGACTGTGCAGTACGTGTGTGTGAGTTAATTTTGGGTTTCCACAGGGCTGTGCTGTTTAACTGTGTTTATTTTGTGTTTATGTGTTTGTTTGTCAGTCTGCACATAGGCCTCCTGATTCTGACTCCATCAGCACCTCCGCAGGTGAGTGACGGCATGAGTGTGTTTGAGTGAGGTTTTAGTTCCTGATTCTGACTGAGTGGAAGATTGGGCTTTCAAACTTCTTTCTTTCTCAAAAAACAAAACAAACCAAAATTGCTTCAATATTGTGAGTCTTTAGGAACCTGTGAAATCCTCCTCAGATGTTTCATACTGTATAAACGCTGATTACATGTAACATATTTGGCTCTGAGCTTTGCTGTTACTTAAATCGGCTTTTTCCTTTTACTTCTCCCTCTCCTCCATCAGGTCAGAGTGTCCATGTTGAGAAGAGCCAAGCTTTAGCCTGTCCTTAACCATCCATAGACTCTGTTTAATGACAGCAGCATTCAGCGCATCACAACACCACAGGTAGGCAACCAATACTGCACACATTAACCAACATTTAATATGCTGTTCATAATAATAAGAGGCACGTTGAGTAAGTAGTGTACAACTCTCCCTGTCATCCTCTATTATCCAGAGGTGGTGTGCGTATCCGTCAGTGTTTTCTGGTTTTCTTACCATGGTTGTGGTCTTTTTATCGGTATCAGTCATCTTGCAGTGCAGTGAAGCAGGTTGTCAACAGTCTGCAGGTCTAGAAAACATCAAGTAGGAAACAAAGGGGCCTAGTGACAACCCCCTCTGTGCATGTCTGCCTCAGACTTTAACACGAGAGAAAGACAAAAGAAAACGTCCGTATTTGTCGCCTTTTGAATGAGGAGACTCAGCGGTGTAGTGGCTGCGACTGGAAGAAACAAAGCAAAATCTCAGCAGGCAGGAAAATTCTCAACACCAGCAGCAAACAAACAAATCTGACACCTTCCTGCATGTTTGTGTGGAGGTGCCAACCTGGCTCTACATTTTTAAAAGCATCACCTCTGTGACCCAGTCAGAAGCACTTCATTTGTAGGTTTTGCTGCTTTGTTTACTCTGATTTACACACTTAGTGCTATAAGTAAATGTATCTACGAACTTCTTCAGAGCTCCTCAGGCTCACAGATCAGGACAAGGCAAAAACTCAAAGACTGAAGTCAGACTGAAGCGCTTAGTAGTGATGGGCAAATGATACTGAGGCCTTGGCGCATGTGTCACTTTTCCTGAAGCGGAGTGACTGATGGCGTTTGAAGCTTTGAACGTCATAACCGAATCTCCTCATGCTTCAGTGCGTCCTGAGTTAATGACAGCTTGACATGTTTGACAGATTTGAGTGGTTTGACGCCACACGAGTTAGATAAGATGCATCATTATTCATCATACATTATATGTTCCATTATTGAATTGTATTTTCTTGGCATATAGCTTGATAAAATCTTAACATTTAAGTACCATGTGAATACTCTTGTATCTAAGGTGCAACAGAAAGTCAGCTTTTTTACAGAAATGAATCCAGTTTCCTTCTGTCGTGTAGAAGAAGTGACTACAGTGATGTAATTCACAGACATGCAGCAGCCTCAACTTTTTAAACCCTGAGACTCTGTCTATCACTAGACGTAAGAAACATTGGTCTTTGTTTAATTTCAAGGCCCTCATCAGCAAACTTCCACTTTATGTATCAAACTTGTTGGAGTGTGATCCTCTTACATAGACGACCCACTCCTCCTGTTAAACATTTAATTCCCTTGAGTTTATAGTGAACTTGGAAAAACAAAATTGTCCTTTGACGTCCCATACCCTTGGCATGTCCTCCAACAAACTTTAAAATTGAAGCTCTTCCCTCTCTTGCAGAGTTTAGGACTTTGATTTAGAAAAAAATCATTTCAGATTGTCCATGTCTTAATTGATTCTATTGTTTTGCAAATATTATCTATGTTTGCTTGTTTTGTCTGTAATCTGGGCGGCATTGGAAATGAGAGAAACCTCAATTTCCCTTGTGAGAATAAATCAAGATTTGAATTGAATATTTAAATGGGTCTTAAAATTACAATTACCTGTAGGTGTGGTGTTTGCTCTGCACACAAGAGTTGTCCTACAACAACATGTCATCCATCCTGAGACACTTGCCTGCCATTAAGGATCTTGAGGTATGCGTGTTGAGCACTGCTGAAACATCAGTTGTTGTATTCAGTCATTCATTGTCTTTCTGTCTGTCTCAGATATACGGAAGGGCAACATCTTGCTAGAGCAGAGGATCCCCTGAAGTACTGGGTGGCACATCGGACTTTCTATCCTACACTGTGGAAACTCGCCCACAAATACCTGCACATCCCAGTATCATTTGTCCCTGTGAAAGGATGTTTTCCAAAGCAGTGGAGTTGATGAGTCATAACCATGTGGTGAAAAAAATATTTCTAATTCTAAACTGTGAACTCAAATAACTTTTTCTGCTACTCTGAATAAACATTCCTCCTCAACCTTAAAAGTCCCCAAATGACAAACCATTGTCATCATCAAAACCCCCTTATTCCGCTACATCACTCACATTATTCAGCAGCTCCACTAGCTCCCCCTTAAATTCACAATCCGATTCAAAATCTTCCTGTATACACTCAAGGCCACCCACAACCTCGCCTCCCCTTACCTCTCTGATCTGCTTCCTCAGATCCTCTTCTTCCTTCCTTCTCACTGTGCCTCCTGCCCACCTCAGCACCAGAGCTTTCAGCTGCTCTGCTCCCCAACTCTGGAACTCACTCCCACCTGACACCTGGAAAATGGACTCTCTCCTTTTATTTATTTATTTTTTTTCAAATCCAGACTCAAAACCCACCTGTTCAGATTAGCCCACTCCTTATAATTGACCTTGTCATATTTTCATTTAATTTGTGTATATTAAATTTTTGAACTCTATTGCTCTTATCTTGTTGTTTTATGCTACCATTCTTACATTCTAAAGTGACCTTGAGTGTTTAGAAAGGTGCTTATAAATAAAATGTATTGTTATAATTATTATCTTTTAAAAGGTTTTCCTTAGGACCCATGAACAGTCTTGGCCTGGCCAGACCAGGAATAAAAAAAAACAGATGAGAAAGGAGACGGCGTACACTTTGAACTATCTTCAAATAAAGAGATGCTGTAAAAGATAAAGGGGTGACTATATTACAATAGGCTACCATACAACACAAGAACTTGGTTTTTTTTTTTATCCCCATACGAACAATAGGGTAATACCCAATAAAGAAACCCTTGTTCTGCATTTATATTCGGCAACAATACGCTAAAGAAAAAGATTTAAATTACAAATAATATGTCGGCTACTGATCGTTAAAAAAGTGGGGTATATACTGAAGCACATTGCATTGAAATTGTTTATGAGTGAATAAGAAACTTGACATACCGTAGCATCCGACTGGATGTGTGAAAAAGGATGTTAAAAGGAATGAGTTGATCCAAAAAACCTTCATTTCAATCAAGAATCACATATAACCACAACAAAACACTTATCTACCCTAATCAAGAGTCAGCTAACTACTGTATCATATAATTTCAAAGTATCAGAACGTGTTTGTTTATCGTGATAAAAGTTCAATTTAAGGCCGTGTAATGTATTGTAAAAGCCTTCAAATTATCCATACTGCTCTGAACCTTTAGGATATTTGATGCAAGCCTTTGACAATTTTTTTTTTTTTTAATTTAACAAGACATATTATTGAGGTTTAGTCTTTGGTTTCAACAGGAATGTGTTTTAGAGTAGGATAAGATAAGAATTTTATAGATCCCTAAAGTGGAAATACTGTAGATAAAAGGGAAATCCAAATATGATGTATATTGGGTGAGTGTCTGCATATCTTAATTTTTCCTTTTAGTAAAGACATTATTTGTACGTAAGTGTAATAACGATGTGATCATTATGTAGTCTAAGTGACCAAAACTCATGAATGACCACGCAGTCTTTCCTGAACGTTTAATGCTGATATCATGGGATTGAAACAGTCTCACTGCTTCAGTCACGTTCTTGAGAGGTTGCTGTGGCTTCAGTTGTCCACAAGATGTCACCGTCACGGTATCTTTTTCGGCACAATTATTGGGAAAGCTTCAGTTCTTAAGGTTTCACCTGCCCACCACTAAAAATAAAAATTATTCTGTACTGTTGTGAATCGAATTTGATGTAATAAGTGCTGAAATCTTTGCAGCTGCAGACTGTATGAACAGCTGGAGGAGGTGAAGCAACAGAGAGCAATCCAGTGTGAACAGAAAGCTTCTGCAATAAAAGCAACTGAAGATAAACCTTGAGGTGCTGATTCGAGAGTATTACACCCTCTCTCCACAGAAAACCTTACAGCAGACTGAAGGGATTGACTTTGAATGTGTCCTTGTTGCACTTTTGGAAACTTCAGTTATTTTGTAAATAAAGCCTCTAACTTCTACTAAAATACCTTTGCCCTGATGCGTTAAGACTGAATCAGAACACATCAGCAGCAAGGTTTCTTAAAAGACAGTTCATCTTGAGCTTCACTTGTTATTTTCAGATTAGTTTTATTGAACAATGTTCAACATTCAAGTAGTCATGTACAGATATAAATCACAAACTATTCCTGTTTTTATAATAAGATAACTAGCTATTAAAAATCCAACTTCTGTCCATACTGACTGATAAGTTAGCCAGGACTCGGCTCGATGCATGATCATGCTGCACAAACTGTTTCTGCAGCTACTGCAGATGAACTGTTTGACATGTTACAGTCTTCCTTTTCATCACAGCTCAACAGAGATGTAAACTGTTAGAGGATATGGGCCTGAACTGTTTTATGATTGATTTCATAAAACTGAATCAATTATTTGTTTATGATGTAAAAAAAAAAAACAGTGTCTTGTCAAAATGTTTTTTTTTTTTTTAACCTAATATAGTTCAAATCTTTGGAAACAAATCCTAAGAGCTGTCTTACTGTAGTAACTCTAACAATTCTGACAAGCCTCAATCTTAAAGTCTCAGTAAGTACCTCAGGATTACTGGCTTTTTAGTTTTGGTGTTACAATGGCAAACAAAATCACATTTTCTCTTCTTCACACAGAAAGGCCTCAAGAAAAAAAATGGCAGATTGGAATTAAACTGGTTTTTGTCCCAGTGAGATTTAGAGTTTAGAGAAAGCCACACTCTTGGGACTCTTCTTCTCCATGGACGCCTGAGCGGACTGCATCACATCTTGAGTCTGAAGCATGCTCATGTTCCAGGAAGCCTAAAGCAGGATGAAGAGGACAGTGATGCAATGCACTGTAGGCTAATTAGATTAAAACGTATGGTGGATTAATGGACATGATCTCACCATGTAATCCAGTCCCTCTGCTACACTGTGGTCTCTTGAGTAGATGAGGTTGACTTTGGTTCCCTGCACAGCTACGGGGCTCCGGCCAGCAATCTCCCCAGCCATCTCCAGAGCTCCAGCTATCATGGTCTCCTTATCTGGAAACACGCGGCTGAAGGAAATGTGAAGAAGACATCAAAATGTTAGTAATTGCTTTGAAATACATCGAAATAGCTCCTTGAAGTTTGGGCATATTACAAATAATGTGTTGTTCATTTTGGTCAGAAGTAAAGCCCTCGCACAACTCATACTTTTCTACAACATGTTAAAATCAGGGAATGCCCACTCAGAAAGTTCACCCAGTGGTTATTCTGCCTAACCACGACTATCACACTGACCTTATAAAGCAGTCACAAAAACAAAGCACCCATGTGCCTGTAAGAGGGATCAGTCCTAATGTAGCTAAGTTTGTCAATACAGAAACAAAGATTTTAGCAGCTTCACTGAGTTTAACATACTGTTCAAAGCTACACATTTATAAAACCGGCTGTTATTAGGATTAGAGAGTAATAACATGTTATAGAACAAAACAGCTGATGAGTGTGATTCTGCAGATACCTGACCAGCCCACTGCTCTTTGCTTCATCAGCGTACATCTTCCTGGCAGTCAGGGCGAGCTCGTTCACCAGGCTGGAGAAGACAAAGCAAAGATACAAGACGATTACAGACATGCAATGTTATATAGAGACACAGATGTTCTTGAAATGGTTTTTAATCCAGATTCTTGGCATTGGGAACTTTGTGATTGTCAGTCTATCCAGTATCAGACTTCCAAGACCTTTGTGCTTCATTGTGCAAGACTATTACAGACCAAACAAGCATATCTGGATGATATTTCACCATTTTACTTCAACACAGAGTGTATCACACATTTTTGGTAATCTATATATTTGTGTGTTAAGTGAGGCACCTGTAGTGTCCCAGCTTTTCAACTTCCAAAAGTACAATGCAGCGTATTTACCTTCGGCTGCCAATAACTTTAGGAAGTCTCTGAAGTGTTCCGACATCTGCTGCAAGTCCGATATCAACTTCCTGCAATAGTGATCAGAAACAAAGATGAGAGACTGCACTGACAACTCCAGAAGTGAGTCAGATTTTTAGGACTCATTAGCAACTTTGATATATTGAAACCTAAATCTAACAAAACTGGGGACAGAGGGACAAAGTTTGAATAGAAAGTAGAAAAAGGAAAAGACTACTACTTAAACCTAATGCCTAAGAATCAAAATAGAGAATAAAATGTAACAGTTTTAGCTCTCACAAAATAGATCTGTACATACCTTCACCTGGAACCAGGCGTCCTGGGTGCACAGGCGGATATCACATGCTGTGATCAGGTCAACTCCTGCAACACACGCCAACAACATCATCAGTGAACGTTATTGTTAAAATCCCATCAGTTAAATCTTTGCAAATGTTTCCTGAGTAATTGTAAAGGGTAGTGATAAAGCAACAGGTGAGAAATAATAATCAGAGTAATATAACAAAAACCTGCATCGACTTTCAAACAGCAAAGCGGGCTCCTGTTCCCCAAGGTTTTAGTTATGGTTTTAATGCTAACTAATGTTTATATTATAACAATATGATGGTGATGATGCCCTACCTCCTCCCACACAGGCTCCATGGATGGCTACCACAACAGGCTTTGGACACTGAGGGCAGAAAACAATAAGTCACAGTGAAAAAAAAACACTCCTGATGCAGCTTAAAAATTATGGATGTCTGTAACGAATACATTATTTATGTGTTGGACAGAAAAACTCTGCAGATCAGACCCTCTCTATAACGGAGAATGTTTCCTGATACTTGGCAATGGTTTTCCTCAAGTTCCAAGAAATTCTGGCCATGTCATCGCCTCTTGGTTGGAGGACATCACTGGCCATGTCCATCAGGTCAATACCTGGAGATTTACACACACAGAAACAAACACTTCAGTCCAAAAAGTACAATTTAAAAAACTGTTCACTGTCTTATACCCACCAGCTGTGAAGACCCTCCCAGCCCCAGAAACCACCACCACTCTGCAGTTGGGGTCTTCAGCTATCTCAGTGAAGCATGTCACCATCTCACTGTAAAAATAAAAACAACAGACATTTCTATCTCAAATGGACAAACTATTTAACTGTCTTCAATTTGAGTTTAAGTTATTCTCCTTACAAAAGGAGTAAAGCTTAATTTGGGATAGTTTTACTTTTAAACATTTCCTTATGTAGAGTTGCATCAAATTCAACCTTTTAATCTGTTTTCTATAAATTGGGTGGTCTTCAACTTTAAAGTTTATATAAAGTAAGTCAGCCAAAAATAACTTTGACTCTTAACCAAGCACATCTACTGAGAACCAGGGTCAGTGAATAAACAATAAACTGTTTCTTGCCTCCAGAAAGCTTTGTTCATGGCATTGAGCTTCTCAGGGCGATTCAGCTCTACATGTGTGATGGATTCTGCTGGATGGCTGATAGCCAGAGAGGTGTAAGGCGAGCTGGAGCTGCTGGAAGATGACATGGCCCTGACTGCAGCCTGACCAGGCAGCCACAGCCCCCTGTCTGAGAAAGAGAAGAGACAGAATGATACAAACCGTACAATAAGATAGTCCACAGCAACTGCTAGGCTCATGTTGTATTATTCAGTCAGTAAATAAATAAAACAATGTCAATAATCACAATTGTACCAGCAAACTGAGTATTTATAAAGAGACTATCAACAGCACTTTACTGATTTCTTCTGGGAAACATTTGCTTTATTGGCCAGGTTCCCTTTATGGCACATGAATCAACATTTAAACAAAAACCAAGGGTTTAAAGGTGATAAACATATGACCCTATGGAGCAGATGGTAAGTCTTACGAAGTAAACAGTGGATACAAATGGCCTATAAAGACGTAGTGGACAAACATGCAGTTTGTTTGCAGAAACGTCGATAAATGCCAAGTTATTATTGAACCAAAACTACCCTCCTATAGATGGGATTTTGTGTGTAAGTTGCTTTCAGGTTGTCATTTATGAGCTTTGAGAGGTTGATGTAGAAAAATAGGCATAAGATCATTTTAATATATTTTTTATACATTTTGGGGGGCAAAACACACATTCAAGTCCAGCATTTAAGCCAAAAACACGGTTTTAAGTAATGCAAATACCAAAGCTGCACAGATGACCTTTCACCTACTTAGCTTGTCAAAGCAAGTCTTAATAAATTAAAACTTTGTCTCTTAGCTCTTGCATGCCAATAGATCAGGTTAACGTGTGTTTAATGAACAGCACTAGTTTTAATACTCAACAGCTGTTACCCGATTATCAACATAAAGAAGACACAAGACATTCACACTTACACTTTGTGACAGCTGACCGGACAATCACTGACAACATCGCCCTTTGGACTTTCAGAGTCTAGATTGAAGGAAAGTAAAACAATAAAAACTCTAATTTGTGCATGATCCAGCTTTACCTACAAGACTCTGTTTGCTATCCTTTTACACAAACAAATACTGATGTTAGGCTATTGCTAACCAGCTGTATAGAAAAATCTTACCTTAATTATTTGATCGTAAAAACAGCAGCTCGCTCACCAGCAAACGTTCAAAACAAGCAAACCTCGTACTGTGGTATCAAACAAAAAATATCCAAATAAATACAAATAACAGGAAGAAATACTTATGTAGTACAGTTTGCTGCAACCAGTCCTTTTTTATACAACTCGGGTACGGTGGCCGGCGAGGGTCGACCCCGAAAGCGAAAGGTTGTCAGATATGCTTATAGAAGGCACTTATAATGAATTGAAGGGAAACAAATATTCAAAGGCTACATTTCACGTAGATTTACAGAAAAGAGACGAGAATCCATTGCCAAGTTATTAAATTTGCGGCCTGTAGTACAATCTAGTGCTAATGTTGTGCATGTATGTTTTGTGGATCTCTGTCAGACTTCATCAGGCCACTACTCGTGTTTTCCAATATTGGACATCTTTGCAGACTTTACCTGAGAGAGTTTCTGTTATGTCAGTGTTCAGTGAGGTTAAAAAGGGGCTGTGAATGCAGTGTGAAGATGTTGAGTAACATTTACTTAATTACATCTAAGTTTTAAGTTATAGTTATGTAGACAAATTAAGTAAAGTATTTGTTTTTCATAGGCGGTAACCTCAGTTTACTCCAAATTTTAAGTACATTTTATATCTCTGTAGTACCTATTTGCAGCTATGAAGTAATTAATAATTATTTTCTCGTGCCTGACATTTTAATTTACTCGGTTGATCAGATTTCTTATAGCGCTTTATCAGCGACCCTCAAAGCACCATATCAATCCAATAAAAAACCTAAGAACCACAGCTTAGAAACAGCAAGCAAAGACTTTGTCTGTGCTCAAGGATTTTTTGTTAAGGAAATTACGAAACTCCTGGCCAACAGGCTACAGAGAAAATACTTGAAACAGGTATAACGAAACAAACAATGAATGGTCGTGTTGAAAACTTCGAAAAAAGACACTAGGACTGCGCCACCTGCGTATTTTGCGCACAGCACATGTCCAGTTTGCAGACGCCCATGATTTATCAGCAGCAGTGAAGAGAAGAGTTGAGTGAAGAGTTAATATTTTAACACTTAAATGACAGTCATAAGTATTAGATTTTTTTTCTCAGCATCCCCTTGTTTTTTATTTAGAATAACAAAATTGTATTTTCCCCTAAATTTTCTAAAACTCAGATTTTTGATATCTTGTTGTCGGCAGCTTTGTGCTACACTTTTTAAAAATTGTATAATTTTTTTAAAACGCAGTCTATTGAAACTTGTCTTCTTTTATCTTGGTAAAGACTTGACATGTTTCTAAAAATTAAATTGATGGACTCAAAGTTTTAATCCATTTGGCACAAACTACATTGCCAAATATAATGAACCGGTGAGATTGTTAAAGATTGTTTCTAATGTACTTGAGCCTGAAATCTTGTTTGTTGAATTTATTTTGCAGGATTCCCAACACCATTATTCAGCTCCTGCTGGCAGCCAGTCCAAGAAGAGGAAGAGGACATCAGTGGTCCGTACTTCTGATTCTACAGGGCTGACCCAAGATCCTGCTCCTCAGCACTCCCACGCACAAGTTGCTGATCCTCCTTTGGTCCAGAGGACTCAGTCAACAATTCCACCTTCTGAGCTGCCTGAAGTCTCCCCTGTGGTTCACCCTTTCCAGCCCTCCACAGCTCCACTGCTTGATGACGGCCCACTGATAATACATCATCGGTCAATGTAAGAGTACCAGCAGCTCTATCACGCCGTGGTAGATGACATGCTCCGGTATGTATAAAACAAACCAAAAAAAGAGTCCACCACTATAACAGACCATAATAGCTAACACTTGACCAAACATTGTGAATTAAACTACTGTCCTCTCCTGTCTACAGGTACAAGAATGGCCACCAGCATCCCTACAGAATTGCACTGGGACGTCTTATCAAGCAGAAGCTGTGGGAACTATCAGATCGTCCACAGTTCACTGAAACTGTGGACGACAACGGACTTGTCCATGTTAACATTAGCTACAGGGCTAGAGTTTATCCACCCCTGTACGATGTGGACAAGTCCTATGAACCACAGCCACAGACTTCACCTAGAAAGAGAGTGAGGACATGAAAATCTTCACTATATTGTTGTTTTAACTCTGAGTTAAAACTAGATTAAGTTACTTTAGTTTAGTTTAAGTTAAGTTTAGTCATAAGTATAAGGGGAAAACATTCAGAACTGCCAGAAACAAAAAGTCCTCTCTGCAAGCAACCTCAATCCTCCTGCACCTTGAGCCTCCTCCAAACTCCTGACTCAACCTCCATCTCCATCCTCTAAATAATAACATCTGCCTCTACCTCTACTTGCAAAAAATGAAGATGGCTGCTTCCACCTGCAACCTCCACCATCAGCCCCCTCCTCCTGCTCAAAGGTAAATATCTCCAATTAAATCCATATGCCTCCCCCTGTTTATGGAATGCCAATGCCTCAAACCCAAACTTCTTCTTAACATCAGGAGCCATCACCTATGATTGCAGTCCCTGCTACACACCAGCAGCCACTGTCTCAAACTGCAACCTCTACAAGCACATTGACACAACTTTCCCTCTCTGCCAACAACCTTGAGCCACATCCTGCAGTGCACCAGTAGCTAGACACCAGCAGCCTCTCCTTCCAACAATATGGAAAAAAGATACCAACCTAACCTAAGCCTCTGTAGGCGAACAATAGCTTCCCCCACCTGCACCCAGAGTGTATACCTGCTCCCTCCAGTGCTGTCAGGAACCACCGCCTATGCCTAAGCATGACCAAAAAACCCGCCAAAATCAACTTCAGCTCCAGTCTCTAAACCTCACAGCCTCAGCCTCCACCACTTGCAGTTTGTGGCCTACAAGTTCAGCTCATGCCTCCAACTGCAGCCTCCGGGATATACTAGTTACCACTATCTCCAACTGAAGCTTTAAAAGTGACCCTTATGATCCATCTCCTGCAGTCTCCACAAGCGTCCACCAGCTTGTAATCCTACCTGAAAACTGTGCCTGACAGCTGCAAAACAAAGAACCTTCTCCAACATTAGCAAAGGCTTTCAGCCTCTGCCTTTGCTACCTGATGCTGCAAGAAATCAAAAGCAGTGACGTTGGTTGAAGCAGGAGTTCAAAAGCTGCAGCCCTAGTCTCTTCCTGCAGCCCTTGTTAAAGGAATCACTCAACAGCTGTACCAGTGCCTCCAATAGAGTCCAGCCACACATCAGCAGACTCTCAAGTTTAGGCCTTAACCAAGAACCTGCAGCTGCCTCCAACTGCACTCACTGACAAGCCTCCAATCCTGACCTCTGCATAACATGTACAGCTTCTGCCATAAACCAAACATCAACTACAACCTTCACCTGCCGATTATAAGGGATAACTGCATCCAAATCCTCCAACCAAGGTCTCAAGCAACAACCTGCAGTGGTTCTATGGTCTGAAGGATTTGTGTTAAAGCTCAAACTTCTAACTACAACCCGACCAATAGAGTATGAAGGAAAGCTGTCCTCACACCTACCAATATATGCCTGTACCACCACCAAGCAACAAGCTGCCTTCAATGCCTTGATGTCACAGACTGAGACTAAAGTGCCTACAACCCTCTGCCCAGCAATCTGCACCTGCCTCCACTTGCAGTTTTGGTCCAAAGCTTCAGCCTACACTTCCAGCTGGTCCTGTGCAACACAATCAAAGCCACATCAGCCAACTAAGATCTCACTCAACACTTGCCAACTCCAGCACTGCCTGCAAACTGTGACTGAAAGCTGCAGCAAAAGCGCCACCTCCTAGTCAATGGCATTCAAGAACCACCTCAACCTACAGCGACCGACAGAAAAAAAAACAAAACATCAGCCTCTACCTCTACCAGAAGTCCTAAGTGTTGGAAGCTAGCTTTTCTACTAACAGCACACACTTATAAAGCCATGTTGCTAAGGTACCTTTTTTTAGTAGTAGCCTCTGAACCATTCATTGAGGAACTGTTGGTCATAGCATCACTTTCAGTGTTATCTATGCAGTTATCTATGGTCACTTCTCTTACCAGCAATCTCTTCAAGTACATATCAGCTGCAGCCTCAACTTCTTCCTGCACAACATCAAAGAGCCATTACCACAGACTTCACTTCAAGTCTCTTCCTGAAGCCTAAAAGAGCAAACTGGGCTGCTCAGTCCAGCCTCCATCAACTAAAGGTATCATTATTGCCTAAAATTACAATATTGAATATTTTATTCATAATATATCGAATTTCCCTTCGGGGATAAAATAAAGTTATTCTTATTCTTAAAACTCAAGCTTCCTCAAGCAAGCCTCTGCAGCTCTCACCTAAAACTGTGGTATATGGCTGCACCAATGCTTCCTGCTTCAACGTCAGCACAACATCCACTTACTCAACTTCAAGCCTCTACAAGGAACCAACAGCCACCAACTCCCTGATCGAAACCTGGAAGCTGCAGCTGTGTGAAGCTGTATCCTTCTCTCTGGATTCTATCTGGTATTGAACTAACTCTCTAATGTACATCACTTTGAGCAAAAGTATCTGTTGTATGACATTGTGACATTGTGCTGCAGGTGCCACCAAATCAAGTCCAAGCCTGTACCAGGAAACGGCAGTCACCTCCAGTTCCAGATGATGCTTGAAATCAATGGTCAACAGAAAAGAGCCTAAAGTTTCCTGCTGCAGTCTCTGCCAGAGAGCAAACTGAGCAGCTGACTCCATCCACCACCTCTGACAGAAACCAGATGTCCCATTAAATATAAAAAAGCTTCCTCCAAGACCCCCAATTCACAGCAACCTGCTGTCACCTTCAACTGAAGCCTCCACCAGTAGCCTTGAACATCCATCTTTATGTTGAGATCTTTAACAGAAACTTGAGATCTGCACTTATTCCTGTGTGGGTTTGACCCCCCCAAAAAAACTCAGTAAAAAAGCAATTGAAAAACAAAAATATTGCCCTTCCAGGGTGAAATATCCGTAAACTGTATCCTGCTATTCAACATAATATTAAATTTCCCTTTAGGGATCAATACAGCTCTTCTTATCTTATCTAACCTTAAATCTTCAATACATCAAATGGCTTGTTGTCATGTTTTTGAGACAACAATTTTCAGCAGTTCGAGTTGGAAGCGACAACTCACTAGAGGTAATACAAGGCAGCAAGGAAGATCATATTTATAATATGAATATCTTTCTTACTCTGATAATCCAGGGCACGCAGTGCTGTGTGACACATCAGCTAAGTTATTGTACCCTTGCGAAAGTATCATATAGCAAATGAAAATCATAGGTATTTAGGGGTTGATGAAGAAGTGGAAGCCCCTCTGTGTCCTCATGAGATACATTTTACTAAAGGACTTTAGGTGCCCTGAAGGTCAAGTGTACTAATGTCTCAAGACCATAGCTGCGTCCGAAATGCCAAGTAGTAGTCGAAGTAGTATCTAGCATGTCCGAATTGGCCACCGGAGCGAGTAGCATGCTACTTCAGATACTACTTCAGATACTAGACACGCCCACATTGTAGGTTGGTCGCGGTGCATCCTACCGGCATGCTACTGACCCAAAATGCACCGCGGGCTTCTTCTTCGTCCTCTTAAAAGTTGTAGAAGCGCATGTGGTGCTAGCTATGGGGTGCCGTTTGTAAAGCAGCCCATTATAAAAACAACAGCAAGATTTGGTCATATTTAGCAAAACAACAGCAAGATTTAGTCACATTTAGCTTCAAACAGCATTTAAAAACGTGATGTGAATTTGCATATTAGCTAAATATTTAGTTTCGCCCAACACATTTAGATTTAACATTTAGATTTAACATTTAGATTTAACATTTAGATTTAACATTTAGATTTATATTTAACATTTAGATTTAGATTTAACATTTAGATTTAACATATATATTTAAGATTTATATTTAGCATTTAGATTTAACATTTAACATTTAGTTTTAATATTTAAATGTTGTTGTAAATGTGCAAAAAAATGACTGCCGAAAATTCACATCACGTTTTTAAATGCTGTTTGAAGCTAAATGTGACTAAATCTTGCTGTTGTTTTGCTAAATATGACCAAATCTTGCTGTTGTTTTTATAATGGGCTGCTTTACAAACGGCACCCCATAGCTAGCGCCACCAGCTGCTCTGCCTATTTAAATGTGTCGCGAACGCCGGCTGGCCACAGCAGCGCGCACCATGTCGGAGCAGCAGCAGCAGCAGACAGGACCGCAACAGTACAGATGTAAGTTTCATGTAACTTCACACACTGTCCTAAAAAATGTGCGGTTGTATCTCTTTGTCATGTCATGGTGTCATATCTGCCCAAGTAACCTTTTTATGAGCAAATATGTGGCGACATCATGGAGGTAAAGCTCACTTATTCCATCATTAAACTGCACAGCTGCAGTAATCAGGCAGATCTCATTGAACAAACGATCACCACGTGAGTGAATGAAGGCTAAAAGTCATGGAAAAGCTACTTTGTGAATTTCTAAAGCAGTGCAGGAATATAATACAGCAGCATCCATCACTTGAACAATTACCATTCAAAGAGACTAAAACTGTAACATGACTTGAAGGGGACAGAGAGCAGACCCAAACATTCATCAGCTTTCTGTTTTCTACCATTTTTAGCCAAGGTTTGTTTATTTCAGTAGCATGTGTATTTCTTAGGGACGGACGACCAGACTGAACATTTATTCAGGTGGCGGCTCAGCCATGACCACCTGTTCACCGGGCGCAGAAATACGGCCAGGAAGGCATTTGAGTAAGTCAAGCCATTCATATGTTTCATGATTCTTCATACAATACGTGTGTCTAATTGTTTCCTCACAATACACTGTGTTTGGCCTTCAGGAGGTTCTTGCAGGACAGCCCCAGCCTCTCGCCGCACATCACGGCTGAGAGTGCCAAAAAAACAACCTGAAAGACAAATATCGAGTATGTTGGGCCAACATCTGTCATCAACAGTCAATCCTCCTGTTAATTATGAAGGTTAATCTTGATACTCTCATGTCCTACAGAGACTAAAGGCTCCCAAGACAGGCGTCAGCACCGAGGGTGGTGAGGATACAGCAGCGTCCTGGCCATGGTTCGAGCTGATGGATGAGGCTTTAGGGGAGCGGCCCAACATCACGCCACCATGCCTCATCGCATCAGCTGGCCAGGATGCTGCTGTATCCTCACCACCCTCAGCCACGGTGACGCCTGCAGAAACACCCTGCAGCTCCCCATCAACCTCCAGCTCAGCCACACGACCCTCCACGCCCACAGAGGATTCCACCTCCACTGCTGCTCCACGCTCCACCTCACCACCCGCCAACCCTCGGAGCCAGGGCAGCTCTCCACCGAGGAGGGGGAGGAGGAGGAGGAGGCCAGCGTTAGAGGACATGTGGCAGGAGGTGGAGGCCACATAGGAGGAGCAGGAGAGGGAGGCTGAAGCCAGGGAGGAGAGGAGGTGGAGGGAGTGGATGGACAGAGAGGAGAGAAGAGACAGGGAAAGGGAAGAAAGAAGAGAGAGGGAAAGACAGGAGAGGGAGGACAGAAGGGACAGGGAGGCTCGGGAGAGGGACGAGCGCTTTTTAAACATTTTGGACCTGCTGGCCAGGAGGCAGTAGGAGTTTTGTGTTAGAGGATTTCAGTTTGTGTATGTTTAATGTAGGCGATTGCTTTATGTTTGAGTAGGGGGCCCAACATTTTAAATGTTAGGTTTTTTTGTTCTTAAATGCCTCTGTTTCTGTTATGGCACTATGAGTTTTCCTGAAGACGATTCGCCTCTCATCCAAGAAGCTTGATTTTATTTTATTTGATTTTATTTAGCACGTTTGTTAAAAAGACAATACAATTGTGACAATAGAGTAAAATATAGAAAATAAAGTGCCAGGGAGAGGCAAAGAAGCCCACAGGGCTTATGTGAGGCCTCTACCTATGTAGAACATACAATTTTAAGAGCATACATTAATAGTAGGAAAATTTTAAAAATATATAGTTGGCTTGTAAAAATTGATTCTGGTAACACAGAAATACCTTAAAAGACATAGAAAAAATTTGTGGTTAATCGGTAACCTTGTGTTGCAGCTTTTATGAAAGGTGCTATATCAATAAAGTTTGATTTGATTTGATAAATCCTTCAACCTGTTATAGTATACATTCAAGGATGACAGTCTTAAACCCTTTGACTGTTTATCATAGAGAGTAGTACCTCTGTATTTTAGGGAAAACTGACCTTGACTAGTGTGGTAAAGAGGAATGTTGATGTAGGTGTTTAGAAACGTGGACGACTATATGTACTTGAGCGGTCTCAGACCAATCTTTGTTATGCTTCTGTCATGCTTCTGTTACACTTTGCTACACTTGTGGCATGATGAAGCTGTAACCCAGATCTGTAACCAGTAAAGCTTGTCAAAATGATGATTCGTGTGAACCTTCCATTTTTTAATGTGTGAACATGGGCTAGGCATCCTTACACTGAAGGATATACAGTAAATGCTGTGTAGATATGAGTTATACGTACTGGCCCAGACAATATGGCAATAAGTTAGGTGAGGATAGATGAGACTGACATATAAGGTAAGCAGACATTCTTGGTTAAGTAACCCACTTATTTTTCTGATGACACCAAATGATCTTGCCACTTTGTTACAAACAAGGTTTGACCTCAGGAGAGTAGTTAACCTCTGTGAGTCATAATAACTAAAGAAAGGAGTTTGAAGCCTACTGGCTCCAAGCCCTGGGAGGGTCGTCAACATTTGTTGGTGTGTTGTTAGTGACTCAGGTGAGTCAACAATCAGTGAAACTAGTCAGGGTGATATATGCTGTTAGGAAACGTGCCACACACAGCATCATTCTACGGCAAAACTTCTCTGGAATAAAATGGTTTGGTCCAAGCAATGTGATGTGTCAATTGTATCTCTGTGTCAGGTTTTCCCCTGACGCCGCATCAGAACAGGGGGGCGGTCCATCTTCCTCAGGGGGAGGCTCGGCCTCGAAGAGGTCACCGTTGTCCATTCCAGATGTTGTGGAGGATGGCACAACAGGTGACCACCTCCGATGCAAAGGCTGGCTTCACCTCAAGGGCCCTGAGGAAGATGGACCGCCAACGAGCCTTCATCATTCCGAAGGCCCGCTCGATAATATTCCGTGTCTTTCCGTGAATGGTGTTGAACCGGGCCTGCACGGGGTTGGCCACAGGTTCCCGGTAAGGCGTCAGGAGGCAGATGGGGGCACCCAAACAGGGGTAGCCTCCATCCCCCAGGATGCACCAGCCCTCCGGTGGGTATAGCTGCCTGTAGTAGACCGGGCTGTTCCGCAGTACACAGGCATCGTGAACGGAGCCAGGGAAGCCCACAAACAAATCAAGAAACCTCCCCTGGTGGTCACAGATGGCCTGGAGCTGGATTGAATGAAACAGCTTACGGTTGAGGAAGTCCAGCTGATGTGCTGCAGGTGGTTTGATGCGGACGTGGCAGCCATCAATTGCCCTGACCACGGTCCGCAGAGCTGGACTTCCCCCGAGGCGGCTGAAGCCAGCAGCGATGTCCTCCAGCTGGTCAGGGTTGGGGAGGCAGATGGTGCTGCCCAGGATGCCCACGACAGCCTTGGTCACCCTGTGCACAATATCGTGAACAGTGGACTTAGGGATGTCGCAGGCTGCAGCCACCACCCTGTAGGACGCTGCATGGGCCAACCAAAAAACGAACAGCAGCACCTCTATGTCCTTTGGCCAGCCACGGGTCACGTTGAGGTCGATGGCAGCAGTAAGGGACAAACACCAGAAAAGACTAGTAACAAGAAATACATGTCAGAGCTTCTAGTTCAAGCACTTCATGTCATAGCTTACCTGTGGGAGTGACTCCAGGAATCTCCACACAGAAAGTGCACTTTCTATGTGGAGCAGCATCAGTGCGGTTGCAGGCATGCTGGCTTTTCTCTGAAGATGTGCCACCTCCGTGATGGCACCACTATATATCCACTCATTGTTAATGAGTAACAGGTGCCTTCTGATGATGATGCCTAATAAGTCCCCTGTGCGCACCGATCATTGTATCGTACTCGCTGCAGTACTACAGCCAGGCCAGCAGATGGGGGGCTTCCGTTACCACTGTCTGCATGGGCGCAGTACCTACTCTCTGCCTGCGGGGGTCGTCTTTCCCCACCGCTCGTCTAGTGTGTCCGAATTGGGCCAACAAGCTTAATATGTAGGACTAGGATCTAGCAGTAGTATGTAGCAGTAGCATGTAGTATGCGAGCGGGCAATTCGGACGCAGCACATTACAAACAATGTATTATGAAATATGAAATAATATGTAAGTATGAAATACAGCATGTCATAATAGACAAAAAAAACATTTATAAAATTATTATAATAAAGCAAAAATATAACCCTTTACATAAAAATATTCTGTCAAGTGCAAAAACATTTAAAAAACACAGATATACAAATTTACATAGGCTATTTCTAGATTCAATGGCATAAAAATGTATATATTTAAAGCAATATTGCATTACTGGCCATGCCTTTGAATGGTCTGCTAGGAGGAGCTCTATTTTTAAAACTGGAAGTTAGGGGTGTCAGTGACAGACCATTTTTTACTGATTCAAATATGAACAAGACAATAATCTCAGGAATTACAATCAGACCCTTGTACCTCTGTGCTCTGACCCTGGTTATGATATTGGACACAACAGTCGACAACAGAATGTTAAGTTTGCATTAATTTGGCTCCCACTGTGGACCTTGTGTTGTGCTTTCAACTTGTCCATGGAGCACTAGTAATCTTTGAAATTTATCTTTATCTGTATAAGTTTGATCCAATCCATCATTACTTTAAAAAGCCAAAATATATATTGATTACCTGTTCTTGGAAAAATAGGGGATTTTTAAAATCATTTTCATTGATTAAACCTTGAACATCCAGGTCCTCAGTGTTGTATATTCTGCATTTATTATCGGCCTCATTTAACAAACTGTTTGACCAAAAAGATCCTGAGTAGTTTTTTAATAATTGTCCAAAATCACAAAACTATAAAATAGTAGGCCTTTTTCTCATGTAATAAATCAAACCTCACTCTGGGAACTGGAACAATACATTTTCAACTACCGATTCAAAATTTCATACAGTAACCTCCAGATATTCACCTTCCTTATTTATTGGAGATATCATTAAATATAAGTCATAACTGTACCAAATCAAACAGAAAAGCAGACTGTGTCAAGGGATACAACATTATTCACTTTAGTACCAAAACAAAGCTGCTAATAAAGTTGCTTGTAACAAATGACAAGACAAAAAATGTAAAAATTGTAAAAAAAGGGGAATGACCAACATAAATCTTACACGAAGCTGCTCCAGAATCATGATCAAAGGTACAGAGAAAGGTGAGGAAACCTAATTTATTTCTTTGTCTAAATTTTCTTCTTTCACCATTGTTTACTTTATTTTTTAGTATTACAATTCTAAAAGTTACTGTAAATGTTCTGAGTCTGGGAACATTGTTTAATCAGCACCTGACCCACACAGATGGCAACAAAGCTGATTCTGTTTTGGGCTGTAATTTACTACCTGCAGGATTATTTTGAGTCATTTTCTTGTAAATTCCACGGGGAATCTCTAGCTAGCTGGCTCGCTAGCTCTTCTCACAGGGATACTTAATCGCTCGGGTCTTACACGCAACATGTCCCCTTACTTAACCTTTGCTGCATCACGCGGCTGGACGATCCTGATTGGCGCAGCGGGAGCAAGATTCAGTCTGTTTTGAGCACACGCCCTCCTCATGTAATAGCGAGGAAGATTAATGGGGATGCGGATTCAGTGGATATAAGTTTGTTTCATATTGAATGAGAGGCGTTGTTGGTAAGCAAATTTTAAATGCATACATTTTCATCATGTGAGACACATCTTTGCAAACGAAGTCATCTTCTCTTTACGAAGTTTGATAGCAGTTCAGTGATGGCAGTTTCTATGTCGGTAGGCCTGCTTTTGGTCGAGGCCTCTACCGCCAAGGTCGGAATAAACTCGTGAAAAGTCAGTTGAAGAGATAGTTTGGACAGATTCACTCACGAATACTGTGAATTGAAACGTGTTGGAGTCCAGTCACTTGTAGGATTTACAATGAAAGGCTCTTTAGACTTTTTCAATGTTCGGCCGGTAAAATCTCTAGGCATATGTTTTGGAGAATTTTTGGAGAAGTAAAATTCAATTCAAAGTAAGTCAACACATAAGGACTAACGAAGTAAAATCAATCGTTCAAACTTTGAAATGTTTTAACAGAGTTAAATAAGACGCTCATGAGGCAGCTGCAACTACGCTAATTATCCACCAGAGGGGGCTACAGCTCAGGCCATTGTCGTGAACATGATGGTGGCCAGTGAAAAGTGTATAACGTGCTAATACAAGACGTACTAAACAAAAAACTCTAAAAATTCCATACCTGCTCAATTGAAAGTTAATTGAAGAAGAAATTAATTTATCAGAAGGCCATATGAGTTCATGAATGAATTAGACTACCTTCTAAATAATATCTTTCCTGGTTAAATGGGCAAAGTGAATTTATTTTAGAAGACGTAAACCTGATTCAATCCAATAATACACATTACAGCTAAAAATCTAATCATGAAATGGGCCTAATGTCATTTTATCCGAGAACCTGAGTACACATCTATTGTTGAAATGTTCCTTAACTTGTTCCTGGTGAGGTGACTCTCGTAGCAGTTTCATTAGTAACTCATACCTTCTTTTGCAGTGTTGATAACATGAGTCACCAGGTTGCTGTGTAGACCCCTGCCAACTATCTAGATGTGGGGAACCTCGCCTGCAAAATTTGTGATAGTGGGGACTGTGTCTGCTCTTTCCACGTGTATAATGTCAATGTCAAATCGTTATCAATTGAAGAACATCAGAAATGAGAATGTCCATGTCTCCCAGTGGAATCATGATTCCAGGTAAATAATACATTAAGATAAGAAGCACTTTATTTATCCTCAAGGGGGAATTTGGTAATAACTTAGTAATAGCCTTTAGATGTGGCCTTATTCTAACTGACCATTAAATCTCACAGATGTTGGTCACTGGAAGAAAAAAAAAGAAGTTTGGTTTTAAGATGTCAGAGAGTTTCTGATACTACATATTAGTCCAGCCAACGTATTAGATTTCATTTTCTTTCAATAAATGAGGAAAAGAGGTTATTGTAATTTGGACAATAATCAAAACAAACTCATCATTGGAAATCAAAATTTCCGATAACAATCGTAAAGTAAGTTCATTTTTACCCTTACAGTGATGTGGTTCATGGTCGCTGTTGTTGACACTCCACAGCAGTAGGTGGCAGTAGCAGGGATATTGAACAGTGAACTGTGCTTCAGGAAGTGGCTCAATTATAGAAAGAAAAACTGGATTTGTTCGTTTCATCAAGTTCTTAGTAATTAGATTGGATATAAACATCTGTGGTGAGGCTAAACATCCAGTGTTGGGCAGTGCTGGGACTTTGAAACTTGCTGCAGGGCTGTCATTCCGTTGTTAAAGGTAAAATACTCTTCACCGACGTCTTTGGGTTGGAGTTAGTAGCTGAAAACACATGGACCTAATGTTATTGCAGCCTGATTTTTTCGTCTTTAATGGACATACGTCGCTTTACTAAAGCCCCTTTTCCTACTCAATTAACACCCGTTTCCTCGGTCGTTTTTCGGCTGCAAGAGTGAGTACATGTAAAAGTTGATCTTTATTCACTCAGGTCTGTGCCGTCATTGGTTCAGAGTGATCACATGACTGATGCGAGCGCTCACTTCTCCTCTTCTATTTCATCGTGTTTTTTAAAATTTGACCTTATATTTGTACCAGTCGACTGAAAAGAAGGACAAAGTGGTGAGTTTAATTTCTGTTTTACGGACTGTCACTTAAACGCAACATTGATCGTCAGGACCGTGTTTGAGATGAACACTGCAGAGAATCTGGTCCGTGCTTCTGCTGTTATAGTGTTATCGCTTCTCGGCCTTTTGGCTAAGATCAAGTGTAGTATCTGTTCTTATCAGTTTAATATCTGATACGTCCCCTACCCGGGGACCATATATTAAATTGATTTTTGGAACTGGGAGATGGAATAGGGGCTTGCTCCGTCCACTCCACGCATCGACCTGGTATTGCAGCACATCCAGGAACGGTGCACCCCCCTCATCATGTTGAAAAATAGAACTGACCTCTGCTACAGTGGCCATTGTCTTTACGCCGTTACCGCCATACATCTGATTACTACTAATGATAGTTATATGATAGCTGTAGACTGTATATGATAGGATGTAAACACATGTAACCCTTAATGTTAAATCAATTAAATGTTTGCAGTTCTCGTAAACACAAGTAAATAGATCTGTATATAAGTGCTATGTATAACTGTTATTAACTAAAGTATAAGTTATGGGGGAAAGTGACAGTATGATATTCTAAATGTAAAGTAATAAAATGTATCAAATAAATACCCCACAGGGTATTAAATAGGGTATAATACTGTTTTTTGTTTGTTTGGTTTGTGTGTGTGTGTGTGTGTGTGTGTGTGTGTGTGTGTGTGAGTGTGTGTGTGTGTGTGTGTGTGTGTGTGTGTGTGTGTGTTAAGAAAAAACATGATGACTAAACCCTGTGTGCATGAGGTGGTAAGTTGAGTGTAAAATAAGTAAAATGGCTTCTAAAATATTATTTTAGGGCTGATCATAGATCATACAAAACACTGCCGATACAATCACTAGGTTTGATCATTTTTAGACCTTGAGACTGGCATAAATGTCTCTGATCATGATTAAACTTTACTGTAGTAAAGAGCTGCAGCCTGAAATGATGCTAACTGATCTGATATTTTTATGATGATGTGTCCTCAAACCTGAACATACTGTATGTTCACAAGTGTCTGCTTTGATTTGGATTCACATCTGCAGAACAAAGACCTGAATGTTGGTCTGAGTGGTCTTTTGCTCTGTGTAAATCTGATTTTTTTTTTTTTAATCACAGGAGGAGGTAAACACTCAGGGGGGTGTGTCCCAGTCTGCTGACACCAAGAACGGGTGAGTAACAGGAACAGTGATTTGCCTTCACTTCTGAATTTCCTGCTTATTAAATACCAGTTTGATGGATTTCTAGAGACAGCATTGCATACACCTGGTTTTCCCTTTATCTGAGAAGGATACAATGCAATGCATGGCAGATTTTAACCCTGTTTTTATGGTTCTGGTTGGGAGCATAAGCGAGCCTGTGGTCAGTCCAAAAATAGCTCCAGTCTGCTTCTATGAATAACAGCAGAGCTGGCAATAGGAGGTTTGGTCAGAGCTCTCTGCTACTTGAACATGTAGTTCAGAAATTTGTTTTGTTTAGTTTTTTTTGGAATTGAATGATAAAACCCTTTTTTTTTCCAGAAGAGGAATTGTTTAGGCTGGAACTGGCTCATGAAAATGGATAACTTTTGTTAATATTTATATTTTTAAAAAATTTCAAGTAAGAAGTGAACTGTGAGTAATTCTGCCTCTGTCATTAGCCAGAAAGTTGATTCATCATATTTAATATTTTGGAAGAATCATTTTTCACTGATGAAAAAAACCAGCAACATGAATTTTATGATTTTTATTATTTGCTGATGTTATAAAAACTTTGCTGAGATGTTCATATTTTAATCTGGGGCCACTGATCTTTGGTTTTCAGCAATTACACACAGTCGTGATGCTTCTGAGGTTGATGTCGACACAAACGTCAAGCTCTGTCAACTGTACATTAGCTGATCCTAACCCAGCTGACGGTTATGTCTTATTTGCATCAAACAGGCAAATTAAAAAGCAGGTACCAGCCTGCCTTCTTCTCCTGCTTCCACCCCAGCCCTTCTCTTTAATAATGCTGTCTGATTTTATCAGTCTCATTTAAACTGACAATCATTGCTGCTCTGTTCTGGACCCTGGAGGGTCTTTGCTGCTGCTCTGGTATCCTATGTGTGTAAGAGGAAGAGCAGGGATCTCTCATTGCATACGAATCATGTTCTTTGACTGACAAAGTCCAGCGTGAACTAAGGATAAAGAAGCTGGGCTTTTAATTTGTAAACACCTTTTGAATTTGTAAAATCAGACACGGCAGGATTGTGAAAACTAATGACTCTCATCTCTGTCTATTCACACTGTCACTGTCTCCTGCCTGTGTCTCTTCTTCTCATTCAGCAGGTGAATCCTTAAACATGACCTCTCCAGAAATCGCCTCTCTCTCCTGGGGACACATGAAGGTGAAGGGATGCTCCACCAACTACAAGGACTGTAAGGTTTGGCCCGGAGGCAGCCGGGCCTGGGACTGGAGAGAGACTGGGACTGATGTGAGCGAAACTGGAACCCAAGCACCCAGAACATTACGGAAAAACTACAACTCAAACATTGATGCATGTACTCACAGTTTTCTCATTTTTTTGCTCAGCATCACCCTGGAGTGCAACCTGCTGACCTGGAAGAGGTACTAAAGAAGGGAGTGGACCTGCTGGTTATTGGCAGAGGCATGAGTGAAGCTCTGCAGGTAAGACATCTCTAAAGCTGTGCTTTTATTCAGACTTCACAGCTTTGAGAAATCCCTGTGAGCTGTTCTGTATTTGGCGATGACAGCTTGGAGAAGTCAAGTACAGTAGAAAAGTCAGTTATTTTCCCCCCTCTGTGTGTTTGTTTGTGCTCTCATCTTTCGGTCAGGTCCCCTCGACAACTGTGGACTTTGTGAAGCAGAAAGGTGTTGATGTCAGAGTCCTGCAGACGGAGAGGGCTGTCGCTGAGTACAACAAATTGGCCGGCCAGGGTGCAAAGGTGGGCGGGGTCTTCCACTCTACTTGCTGATGTGGTTGCCCTCAGGTTGCTGCACCGGCTGCACGATTGGCAGGAGATGAAGTAGGCTGCATGACAGACTGATCTCCACCTACTACACTAGCTCTGGCTCAATTGTAGAAAACTGACACAGAAATTGGTTGAATCTTGAATCTGAGACATGAATGCTTGCATTTAACTTAAGCGAGGTAAAAAAATATGGAGGAAAGTCTATTGACTCTATTTTTGTGCCTCGCCGGCGGCGTGGTGTAGGCACGTCGTAAATCGTGCCAACAAGGCGTGCCCAAGCACATTTTGTATGTTGGTGAGTGGCGCAGTCCGGCGGAAGTATTCCCCCTCCCTATCTCAGCTCCTCCCAGCTGCGTAAGTCGTAGAGAGGGAGGCGATAAGGCATGGAGTGGGTTTAACACAGCCGGGACCTGTTTTTTCGCCAATCACATCAGCTCCTCTCCTCGCCTTTGAATCCACCACCGGCGAGGCGTATTACAATTTTCGTGAAGTAGTCAAAGAGATCAAGAGATGCCTGAAGACAGTAATGCCACACGATGGCGACAGAAGGCAGCTCCTCAACTAGTGTCGCTGTAAGCGCTGCAGAGGGCGTCCTCCACACTGTCTCATATGAGCACAGAGGGATTTGGTGTGTGTAATTTAATTAAAAGGGTGTTTGTCTTACCAGTGGGTCCACAAATAAAGACACTCACATAAAGTTGCTCATATTCAAACCTCACGTGACAAAGGTGGGTTGTGCGCACAGATCACAACATAAATTACAATAATGGCATTAAAATCGGAACCATCAGTGCGTAAATGACGCATCACGCTCCGTGGCCTGGCTCTTTCTTTCATAGATGTTGGCATATAAAATAAATTTGGCTCACAAAACTGAATATTATAATATCCGTATGTCGGCTTAAAGTAAATAACTCATCTGATCACTAAAACAAATCATCTGTTCAGCCGTTGCTGCAGCAGCTGCAGCAGGACGGAGAGAGGACACGGAGACATGTCCAGGTCAAGCTGCGTGAGAAATAAGAGGAAGAGGAAGAAAACAGGTTATGTTATTCGTCTCCCTCCTTTTCTAACTTCATCATGTGTGTCTATTTACTAGATATTAATTTAATTTGATGTGGTTTCAGCTGTGTTGATTCGGTCAAGTTGAGTGTCCAAACGCATACCAAATGCGCTCATCAGATCAGATATAGATCAAGATATATCTATATAGATCTAAATGTATGTGCTAAAACTTAATATTAGTTGTTGATGATTATTTATTGCACTGAAATGTGCCTGACACTGTGGAAACCTGCCTGTGAGGCATCAGTGACGTATGTGCACTACGACGCCGGTCTACCAAAATACCACTAAAATACCACTAGACTAGCTGCGCTCTGCCTGCGCAGAAAGCTGACCAGGTTTGAATTGGCAAGCTTTCAGCGCACTTTCTATGCCGCCAGCGAGCACGAAAATGGCACTGCGCCAGCTGATTCTGTCGACACCTCCCCCTGCCGCGCCATAACGCCCAGATTTGCGGACCTAGGTGCGCCTCTGTCTATGAAAATATCAAACTGTCTGTACGCCGGGCTCTGCCAGATGAAAATACCACTGTGTGGGGTCCGCCACCCTCCGCCGCACCGCCAGCAGGCACGAAAATAGAGCCCTAAGCATCAGTGACGTCAGTGAGAGGAAAGCAACACTTTAAATATTGTGTGCACAGCCTTTAGAGACAATCTCTTTATATGGCTTTTTAGAGTAAAGTGACCATTGAAAGCGTCATCTTAAATGTACAGATTTGATCGTGTTTTCATTGATGTTGATGAATGTGCCTTGTTTGTCATGAGGGAAAATGTACTTGTGCTTGTTTGCTATAAAATAAAATCAGAGAACAAATCTGGATCACACGGGTTTATCTTTATAAGAAACAAATGTTGAAAATACTTCATGAACAAGAGAAAAAGTACTCATGTGTTTCTTACAACCTGACCAGAAATTAGGAAGAAGAGCGCTTTCAACTTTTCTTATCACTCCTGAATTCGTGAATGACCTGAAGATGAAAAATTCTGTAAAACAGAGGTGGGAGTGGGTTATACTGACCCATCCACACAGTGTGTCAGTGGTGGACCTGCGTAATGAGTCTGTGTGTGAAGTCTCCAGGTTTAGGGTAGATCACATGACCTTGGCCATCTGGATACAAAACCTGCAGAGATATAACTCTTTAGATTCTCTACTCAGGATTCAAGGAGGCCCTGCATGAAGTGAAAAAATCAGACCACAAAGATTTCACACCTCTCAGTTTGGAGACATTACTGTCACTGCCTATTTTACTGACAGGTGAGCTGGTTCTGATGCAAGTTTCCACAATGCACTTAACTGAAAAAGCTGTTCAAACAACATCAAGGCCAGAATGGAACACTGTGGTGTCGTCACATTCTGAATGATTTGTCAGTAAGTATAAAGCCACGTTGTCACTAGCTCAGTTTTCAGTGCGACAAGTGTTCAAGATGGCCGACATCGTCCTCTGTGCTGCCGCATATCTTAACATCCGCCGTAGACGCCGCCGGCGTGTTTGGGTGCATGAAACCATTCGGAGGAGGACGGAGCTGGGGGAATTTCACTGCTTGCTCCAGGAACTCCGCCTAGACGATGGGCGCTTCCAGCTGTATTTCCGTGTGTCGTCGGCGCAGTTCGAGGACCTCCTCGCCTGGGTGGGAAGCAGCATCTCCCGCCAGGACACGACCTACAGGCGCTCCATCTCAGCTTCGGAGTGCCTGTCTTATCAGTCTGCGGTGAGTATAATCAAATGTAATTAATTCAAAATGACCAGATACACTGGGCAAAAAAGGCAAAACTGCAAAGTTTATCAGCTTTCTGTGCACTGAGCTCTTCCTGTGAGCTGCTCTCTGCCTCTGTCCTTTAATATCCAGTCAAAATAAAACTTCTCTTGGACACACTAATGTGATTTTGAAATTCTGTGAATCTGATCAATTTACTAAAGACAGATAATATAACTCCTGTGAAAATAATCCTATCTGATCAGACTGATTAAGTGCTGCTGAAGAAGTAAACAGGATTGGTCTGTTTCATTTATTTGATCCACTTAGTAAAGTAAGAAGTTACACTGTAAAAAATGAACCCTTAACACATATAATACATACTGTAAAAAAATTACCTGGACATTCATTAATTTAAAATGACCAGATACACTGGGTGCAAGCATAAATGTCCAAACTCCTGGCCCCGGGGGCCCAGACCCCCCACAATCCGGCCCTGCATGAAGCCATACTTTTTGCATCCTGGGAAGTCTGAGCAAAAAGTACATGTTATCCTGGATGCTTATGCTCAAACTTCTTCGTAATGCCTTTGCATCTTCACTGGAGTTTGCGACAGAAGATGGGGAAAAGATAAAATGGAAGTACTTAAAGGCTCTCAATAAACTCCAAGAGAAAGAAGGTTTATGACTTGGCAACAGGCTGAAGATGGCTCACATACAATGGAGGAACCAAGAGAGCACAGCAGCACAGCTCTTCAGCAGCAGTGTGGCAGACGCCATGGAGTACTGTGAACAAGATTTGACAACCGATGGCCCCACACACAGTTTCAATCCTCCTGGTATTGCAAAGTCAGATTCAGCAATTTTGCAAGGAGGCCATCTGAGATGGCAAAAACCCTGATTATAAGACAACTTCCCCTTGTTAAGACAAATTTTTACAGAGAAGACTTTTTGAAAAAACACACTTGATTTATAGAGAGAGGAATTTTAATTGAAAATGATCTTAACAGGCCAGCTGATCACATACGGTCTCTGATTTATCAATTAAGGAGAACAAATATGAAAGCCCCAATCCAGCATAGTCAGCTAACAATTTAAATGATTCTACTTTTCAAAATTTGACACAAAGTCATCACAGATTAAATCAGTTGCTGAGAGACTGGATCTGGATAGTCTGAAAATACACTGATGTTCTCTGTGATTTAAAAAAGTCCCCATCAGGTTGTGGAAACATACAGAGTTAATCCCCTGCAAGGTAGAAGTCTGGCATGGTGTGTAATTTACAGTAAGCCTAACTGATCTAATTCAAGTTCTTCTTCTTCCAATGGTGGTTCATCTTTTTATGTTTTTTTCTCCCAATTTTTCTTCTGCAGAGAGAGAAAAGGAAGACCATGTGAAGGAGAAAGGAGAGGAACAGATGGGAAGGGACAGGAGAGGAGGTGGGAGGGCCAAAGATTTCAACTTTTAGTTTGAAAGGTATTCATCATCATCCATTTATTTATTAAGAGAGAAAGGGGCAAGGGACGAATTAAATATCATTTTAACTCCATCGTGTGAGACTATTTACTGGATATTTAATTTAATGCTGTTTCAGTTGTGTTACTTCGGTCAGGTTGAGTGTCCACTATGCGTGCCAAACGCGCTCATCAGATAAGAAGCCTACTGGTGAGGTATCGGTGACTTTTGCGCACTACGCTGCCGGTCTACTAAGGTACCACTAGACCAGCTGCGCTCCACCTGCGCTGAAAGCTGACCAGGTTTGAACTGGTGAGCTTTCAGCGCACTTTCCACGCCGTCGGTGAGCATGAAAGAGTCACTGCGCCAGCTTATTCTGTCGACATCTCCCCCTACAGGCAGGTGGAACTCAGTGCGCCTCAGTCTACGAAAATACCAAACCGGCTGTGCGCTGGGCTCTGCCACACGAAAATACCACTGCGCCAGGTGCGCCAAACTCTGCTGCGCCGCTGGTGGTCACAAAAATAGAGCCCTGTGTGTTCATTGTATATCAGCTTAGGCATATAATGTAAACAAGATTGTTTCCTGATAAGACTAACCCCTGAAATTACTGTAACACTCAAAAGCATCAGAGATGGGACAAATGTACAGAAACAGAGTGAAGAAATCATATACACAGTTTTTGTGATCCAGTGTAAATGAAATTGTCCATCTGTTTTTACCAGAGTCAGAGCAAACTGACACAAGCTTAACTAATACAAATCCACAAACCTCTACACAGTTGGATAATTGAGGAAAATGTGAGTATTAAGAAGATAACAGTGATGATGGCCCGGCCAAAAGGCCATGAACCAAAGCAGAACTGGATGATGACTCAGATCTGAATTAATTCACATTGGTGTGTGAGCTCCTCTCTGAATTTATCAACACAGTTATTGCAAAGTCCTATTTTTCTTTTATGAAGACACTGTCCTCTCTGATCTGTGTCTGTCTCTGTTGTGTGATGAAAAATTAAGTCAACAAGTTTCATTGCTCTCTAGTAAAGATTATTTGCCCTGCATATCAAAACTACTGCATATATCTTTATGGGAAATTGGATTAACTGCTGAATTCAGGATTTAGGACTTACTGTTGATTCATTGATATTGGCAGCACAATGTTAATGCTGTTTCTTTGCACTTATAGCACTGCTTCAAAGTGTTACGGCCGCAGCACTGTAAGAGGATGCTGATACTATGGTCACCAGCTGCTGATTGGTAAAGGGTCCGAGTCAGCCTGACTAATCAGGGAGGAGAGGCAGATTCAAGAGGCTGCCGATTGGAGCACCTCTGGGACAGACACACTTTGCTGGATTCTTTGTCAATAAATCTGTGTTGGCATTTGTGTGTCGTGGCGATTTAATTGCACATATTTTTGGGGGAATTGTAAGGGATAGGGAGCTTCTTACCCCTTGTTTTGTTTTAACTTCTGTTTTGAGCTAATTAGCATTCTAGTTTAGAGTCGCTTTTTGTTGTTGATGCAGGTAGGATTCAGAGGCTGCATGCTGTGCAGCACTTCCAAAACTAGGTCAACTCCTCCCCCTTTTCCTTACCCTCCTATTTAAGACACCTGTGGCAGGAGAGCTCCCTATTCCTTTGTCTGCCTGCTCGCTGCCACATGGTCTAACAGAGGTAATGAGGCCTTGGTCATTGTATTTGACCATTTATTTTAAATCCTTTCTTTCAAAGGCTGAATAGTGTGTGTTCTTTTAGATTGTTTGATTGCAGTCTGCACTTTTCCCTGAAGGAAACTTTGATTGATGTACCTAAACAGGTATGAGTGGCCGCATTTTACTAATAGACAGCATCCTAGAATTGGCATGATTTTGATATTTCTTAACCGTGCAATAATTTCTGTCTGGTTTCCAGGCTCAATCAGCTTCTGTTTTTGTTTTTTGTTTGTTAGATCCTGTTTTCTCTTTTTTTATTATAAATAGTTTTATTGTAATTATTTAGTTATTTTTAAATTTTTCTTTTTTTTTTTTTTGTCTGTTAGAACCTTTTTTTTGTCTTTTAGAGTTTGTTTTTGTTTTGTTAGCTTTTTAGTGATTGTGATTAAAGAGACATTTTAGCCCGACCAAGGTTTTTTATTTTTTATTTTTTTTAAATCATTTCTTTTTGTATAACTTGTTTTTTCTTTCTCATCCCCTACAGTGCAGTAGTGGCTGGCTAGCAGTAGAGGCTAGGCACATTTGATGGTTCCCCACACCTTTTTGTTGCAGTGGTCGGCGCACTGGAGCACCATAGTCTACACCAGTTTGCATTGAGTTCACATGTGGTGGCTAAGTGCTCTCCTGGAACACTTCCTTTGGTAGACTGCCTCCCTCTTGCTAGCTCCCACTCCCTGCCCCCTTCCCTTTTTGTTAGTTTTAACTATCTGGAAGTGTTTTATTGATTAATTGTTCAAAGAATCACTTGTAATAAACTTAAGCAATCAACTTATTCAATAACAGACTCAAACCTTTATTACCAATTCACCACTAACTCCCTTTTGTGTCTTTCAGCAGACACTTCCAGGTCCAAGCATTTTTATATTTTAATATTATAAATAAATTTTGATTTGCTTTGAACCACGTCTCTGTCTCAGACTTTCAAACCTATGTTTGCATTTTTCTTAATGAATGGTTGAAACTGGGTAAAATCCTTGGGTCAAAGTCCCTCGGTGGTGTTGTTGGATGACCTTGGCACAAGTCTGAAATTGGCCCTTTTCCCACATGGCCACATTGTGTTTATTTGTTTCTTTGAGCAGCACTCCACATCTCTCTGTTCCTCGCCTAAACTTTGTTAAACAGCACTTTATTCTTTCTTTTCCCAATAAATAATTTTTACATCACGAAACTGGGGATTCATGCTGAAGAGTTCAATTAGGGGGTATTTTTATTAAATGGTAACACGGGTGTTTACAAGTGTTTTTTGCTCAAAGAAAAAAGTTCTGAAGTGAGTGAGGAGTGCAAGAAGAGTCAACTTAAATGCGAGGGTTTTAAGAATCTATGCAACTGTGATGATGAACAACTGCTGAGAGAGAGAGCTCAGGTTTGCGTCAGGGACACAGACATAGAAGAAGTGGTTACCGATGCCAAGTCAGGGAGTGAGAACTTGTTGGGTTAGTGTTGGTGAATTTTGTTTGAGTGTTTCTTGGGCGATAGTGCTGGAGAGTTTGTCACACGATTATTGCAAACTGTTAAAGTAGTTAATTAAATGAATTTTTTACTGGTTTCTGTGAATTTGTATAGAAATTAATCTGAATTTTACAAGATTAGTATTTCAAATTTTCAGTAAGCTTAAAGACTATTGTTTCCATTAATGTCTTCTTAATAGTCTTAAGTTTGTGAGCGGTGTCTCAGTCATGCTGATGGTGTGTTGCATTATTTGGAAGTATGAAGTTTCAACATGTAGTTTCTTAATATCACCTGGTTTTGGCAAAAAATGCTGACAGCAACAGGAGCTAACTTTATTTGTACCTTTTCACTTTTTAAACTCAAGGGAAGGGAACAAAAGTCATATATTCAGATCTATATGGTTATGATTTATTCAGCATTTTTCTGCCAGACATCTTAATCGATAAACTATCTTTATCAGATTACAGCATGAGTAACTATTCAAAAGCCAGGATTAACCAGTTAATGTAAACCTGACTCACTTTCTCTGCAAATCTCCACTATTATGGTAAAGTTGAGTTCACATATGGGATATACTTTTAATAGCCCTAGTGATGATTTTCTTCAATCCTTTCATCAGTAACTTGCTGTGTCTGCTTCAGACCTTCAGTTGCTGTTAAAAAGACTAAATTTTCTCAAGGAGACATTATGGGACTGAATAGACAAGGTCAGGGTCTCCAAAGGCCAGAGGCCATTTTCTAGCACAAGGGGTTTCTCTAAGTTTTTTTTCATTTCAAGGACTCCGAAACTGATACAAGTTAGAGTTAGAGGACCAACTGGGTGATCACCATCCAAAAGAGTTTCTTAATTCAACATCAGTGAATTTGGACAGCAGGTTTATGACCACAGTGCACCCATCTCTGGACTCGGTATGTTTCTATTGTTGTTGCTGTCCCCCGTCTCTTTCCTTCCCTATCTCTCTGTGTTTCCATCAACTCGGCTGCAGCAGGTAGCTGTCCAACGCGCGTCAGGTCCTGCTTAAGGTTTCTGCCCCTTTTTAGAGGGAAAGAAACACTGTTGTGATTCGGTGCTAAATAAAAATCAATTGATTGATCTTCTGGCGGTTGCTTCCAGCAGGATAATGCACCATGTCTCAAAGCTCAAATCAACTCAAACTGGTTTTCTTGAACATGACAATGAGTTCAATCCAAAGTCACCAGATCTCAATCCAATAGAGCTCCTTTGGGAGGAGGTGGAACAGGAGATTAGCATCATGGATGTGCAGCTGACAAATCTGCAGCACCTGTGTGATGCTCTCATGTTATGCCAAGACACATTCTGCACATGTTACAACAGCGTGGCTTTGATGTAAAAGAGTAAGTACCTGTCTCCCACTGATAATGTGTGGCGTATTATCAAGCACAAAATACAACCACAGAGATCCTGGACTGTTGAAAATCCTCCAACAAAGCTTGGACAGTTAGTGTCCTCAAATATTGAATGTTTACAGCAAAGCTGATGTAACAAAGAGGCAAACATGACCCTGTCCTAGCTTTTTTGGAATGTGTCGCAGATATTAAACAAACAAAAAATATTTGCAAATTAGTTCATCGGTCTGAATATTAAATATCTTGTCTTTGTAGTGCATTCAACTGAATATACATCAAAAATGATTTGCAAGCCGTTGTAGTATTGATTTGTATTCACATTTTACACAAAATCCCAACTTGATTAGAATTAGGGTTTGTAGTCATACTGCAATTTGGCATTAATAGTTGGTAAGTTAAAAAAATAAATAAATAAATAAATATATATATATATATATAATTAATTGTTTATTGGGTAAATAACAGGGGGAAAACAGACAACTGAACAATTTAAATTACCAGAACCTAAATTGATCTGGTTTTCATCTAATTAAAATGTAGTCAGTGACTCATTGCTTTCAGCCTCATTGCTGAGGCCTAATTGTGAACAAAGTTTTGGTTTTTGATCCTCGATTATTTAAATTGTTCTTAAGTGTTTTCTTTTGGTTGTTAAATGGTTTTCTTGGACAGGTCGATGCATTCATTAACTTTCGCTTTTACTCAAGAGTTTAAATATCTTCAGACATCATTATGTGTTTTTTTTTTTTTAGGTTTTTGTTTTGGGCTGGAAGTTTGTTTTCATTCATGATTATGATCAACACATTTATTTTTAGTGTAGTTACCCAGTGAGGCTTGGTTCACTGCAGTCACAGTAATCTACCACAGGGTGGAGCTGCTGTCCATTACATTAGCACTCCACATCACCCCAACACAGTTTTTTAACCTTTTAATATGAATGCCACAAAATTAGTAAAACTTTACATTGCTGTTGACTATTCAATCAAGATTTTCCAAAGTTTTTTGATCCAAACCAACCAGACCTGAAGCGGATAAATTTCATGAATCTGAATGACCTTTAGCAAATCAAGTACATACACATTTCTGATATGCAAAGTAGAAGAGACTCTCTTCTTTCGGGGAAAAACACATTTAAGAGGTGAAGGTTGACATCAGAAGAAGAGCCATCAAGAGGCACAAAGAGTAGAAACTTCCACGAATATAAAATGAAATGGTTAAAAGGCTGTTATATAACATTCAAAGGAGTGTACATTTACTCTGAGACAAGTCCAGCTCTGTTTTGGTGGTCCAATCACATTCAGATTGTCCAGTATGAGTTATATCAGATAAGCTGTACAAAAATATGTTACATTATCAGCACCTCACTTGTAGTCCGTGTGGATGAAGTACACCAGTGTAACAAGTACAACAAAACAATAAAGCAACAAAAAATACACTCATTCACTCACACAGAGAAGTTTGCTCAGAGACACAAAAAACTAAAAGAAAGCACAAGACAACCACAAAGAGACAAAACTTCTGAATTATAAATATATTTATTCTGTGTCTTTCCTCTCTTTTTTGCATTAAGAGATGTTTTTGTTAATTAAGCTGGTGGCTCTGTTCAATTTTTAGTACCAAATTAAGGTAAAAAGATAGTCTTTGTGCAGGACTGTGACATGCCTAAATGTAATGAAGCTATTAAAGATACTGATAATCAAATATTGATTGTAGTTACAAGTGTTTCCTTTGGCTTTAAGTCTAGCTCACTGACATTAAAACAACATTTTTGTCATGATCTGTTTCTCAGCCCAAACCTCATTTATCTATCATACCCCCACCCCTTCCTACTCCACTGCCCCACCACTCTGCCATTTCATTGGACTGGTCAGGATCAGATTAAAATAGAAAAATTGCATTTCCCTGCAGAAAACGCGTGGAAATGCTGAGTGCTGAAAGCTGAAAAAGCAATGCAAAACTGCTAAAAATAGAGAAAGGTTTAAATGTAAAATTGGTTAAAGAGCTGGAGAAAGAAAAGTAGAAGCTGGATGAAAGTGAAAATTGCTGAAGTACAAATAGTATGAATGTGCTTCATAAATTAAAATTGCATTCATGCTGAATAAGGCTAGAAAAACTGTCTGAAATTGCAAAAAAAAAAAATGGATAAGGAAGAAAATTACCTTAAAACACAGAAAAGTAAGAAGTGGCATAACTTTAAGTTGTAGTACTAGAAGTAGTATGATAATAGGTAGTTGTAGTAGTGATATTAGTAGTCATGTAAGCAGTAGAAGTAGTTTTAGAATAGAAGAAGTAGAAGTCAAAGCAGTAGAGCTTGTGGTAGAAGTAAAAAAATATTAAGAGAAGCAAGAGCAGTGGAGGTAGAAGTGAAGATACAAGTTAAAATGATACAAGTAGTAATTGTAGTGGTAGAACTGGGATTTTGTTTGAAGAATTAAAACATACATAAATAATGAGAATGATTTTGAAGTGGGAAAATGTTTAAATAATTAGAAGTCCTAAAGTGTTAAACAGGTTTGAAGTTAAATTTAGTTAAATGAAATACAAAACAAGTGTGCACCTGAAACCTCCCACATCCTGATCTCCTCATAAAGGACTTTCATATCCTGTTCCATGGTTCCTAATGCCCTAATCCTCCAAATATGATTTAACCTGTCAGACTGATAAAAGAGGAAAGCCTGTAGAGTAAAAATTCAAGTACTGGTGTTTCTCAAAATGTCCTCCAATGTTTCTCAAAAGTAGCCTACTCGTTTCGGTGGCAAATCTTTACAGACTTATTTCACTTATATCAGCATATTCTGCTCTATTATTTCCACATAAACCAATGTCCCGTGTGGTTGCCTTTCCCCCCTTGCAGATGTGAACAACAGAAGCTGAGTCCTCTTTATAAAGCCTTTTTCTGCCTGTAGTCGTCGCACTGGTTTAGCTCAGTGGTTACTTCGAACATCAATTCTACCTGAAGAATTCGCTGCTCTCCATCCCTCCTCGGGATCGAACCACGGGCGCTGTCCAGTGCTTTTTCTCCATCTCACCCCTAAACTGCG